TATGTTTTTTTTTTTTTTTTTATTTTAAATAATCGAATTCTTTCTATTTTCAAAAATAGAAATCTTTCTAGTTTTGATATATCACGTCTATCTCCTTTTCTACTTTATAAAATATAACTATTATAGAGATAACACACTATAAAATACTTTTAATTTTCCGAGGCGCAGAAATTAAGTTACTGCTCATCGTTCTCCTTTATTTGCAGCGTACGAAAGCGTGAGGAGGACCTGCACATCGCAGCTACAAATAAACTTATTCATGGTGGACCACGTGTGCATGATGGAAAGTACCGGCACTGGTCACATGTGCTTCTGTGAGGAGGATATGTGCAATCGTGTACCCCCGACCTCGCGCTCGAATCCCGTACTCCTGCTGATCCTGTCGACCATCCTTGTTCTACGCTCGGCCGTCTTAGGAGCCTCAGCTTGCTTTGTAGAACGTTGCAATGATCACGTCGTATAACACCAATTAACTCGATCCACCCATCGCAGTGGCGTCCAATCATATCCTTCGTAGAGATTCTAGCGAGTCGACAACACGACCACTCGTCGGAACGAACGATCGAGCTGGCTTCGATCCCTAGATAAGCTAGATTCCCTCCTTAGAGAGAGGTGTAAATGAGAGAAACGGTCGAAAGTCTGACATATGAAAGTATCCGGGGACGATCGACCTGTCATTATATTGTTACCATTAATTTCGCGATGCGCGTGTTACCGGTCCGTCGGATCGCGTAGAAGAGAAATATATTTGTATGAGATAGATATTTTATCGAAGTTGCATATCTTAGAGAATGCGGACGCTCAGACGCATATACTATATATATCGGCTGTTGGATAAGAGATACATGCAGAGTAGTAGAGAGCTCTACAAAATAGTGACCGTTCGTTTATTCTTGTATAGGGGGTCTCGTTATTGCACGCTACGGAATGCAATAGTTTCCTCCCTTATATTAGCTTTAAACTGCGAGATGAAATTGATTATACTTTTAACGTATTCAGAACGGATGTTCCGTGAATGAAGTCTCTAATGAATCTCGTTACGGTGCGTGTATTTAGGGTTTATCGACAAGAGTTGAGATCGTCGCGATAATATTTGCACGGTTAATGGACGAGATTCGGTATTCTCGTCCTTAGAGTCGCTCAGTACGTGTGCGTCGTTCGTTCCGATCACTGGCCTTAGACAGCATCGAGAGTTACGTAGGCGTTTCTCGTGTAGAAATCATCCCGACTGTCCAGTCGATTTCTCTGATTATCTCGGCGAGCCCGAGCCCGAGTTCTCTGTTAGTTGCTCTTCGAGCAAGCACGGCTGGCCATCGTTGCAATGCATTTGTGACATGAACCTCGAGGAAGGAATTTCATTGAATATCAAGACAGGATATCCACGAACAAAATAAAGCACTGAATTTCGATATATCGAGTAATATACGAGTAAAGTGCGGCTCTGAGCCGTAACGAAAAATCGGTTTAATATAACAAATCCACTGAAGAAACTTTCTATCTATTTTTATAGAAATTGTTTGAAGCACATTGTGATGAACAAATTAATTACCTACAATTATGTAATTCTGCAATACCTTTGTATTGGATTGTACGTTTCATTCATGCAGCTTCATTTTATCACCAGAGGAATATTAATTAATCTCCAAATTTCACCCTCGTATTGAGAAAAGAAAGCTTTTCGCTGAATCGAAAAGTGAAAATTACGAATCGGGAGCTCCTTCCTCGGCGTTGTCGTTGCATGTACTCAACTGTCGTCTGAGAACATCAATGATGGTTTAACTATTTTACTCTAATAGTATGACAGAGAGTGGAAGAACAATGTGGATACTCTAGCTTTCGGATTTTTTCTCATAACGGTGCACCTCATTACGTCTTTTCTCTCATTCTAATGCGACAATGTTCGACGCGACTGGTCGAGTTTCGTTCGACGCGAGAGTCTGTTGAGAAGCACAGTGAATTGCGTGAGGTATGATCTCCGACCGACGTAACGAACAATGAGAACTGCAAACTCGCACATGACGATTTTCAGAGATACTTCAATTTTCAAAAACAGAACAGACAATCTCGAAAGTTTTGCTAATATTTTAAGAGTATATTTTTATTTGTGTGTAAAAACATATTGAAGGAATTATTCTCCGGCGTCACACGCGAGTTTCACGCGATATCAGAAACGTGGAGCAAAAATCGCTCGAAATCATATTCTTGTTTATATATATATATATATATATATATATATATATATATATATATATATATCACTGAATGTGTAATACGAGCTACTTTCTGTAATTGTAGTACTTCATAGTTCAACACATTACTCCACACAATGATTTTTGCATAGAACAACAATCAACTGTTATACAGTTTTCAAGTAATTACCGATGACGTTAAGGACGATTAGAGCGACGGTCGGCGTACATTCATTGCGCAATCCAATTGATTTAACGATACGCTTCCTCGATTCCACCCGATCATGACTCTCTTTCTTTCTTTTTTACACGATCTTTCTCTCTTTCTCTACCTCTTCTCCTTCCTTTATCACACCGTCTGACTCGTCACCTTTGCACTTTTCTTTCATTCTATTTCTTCACTCTTCTTCGATACAACCCCTTCGTAGACACTTCGCCTGCTCGCCATTCTAACAAGACATCGTCATACTCGGGAAGACGGGAGGCAATCGAGACCACGATAGAAGGCGAGCTTGTACGATAGAGAAACGTCCTCTACCTTAGAAGGCATGGATTGCAGCATGTACATCCAACAGACAGCACCGTCAGATACAGTGAGAGCCGGCCGGCGAGCAGCGAGGATGATCTTCTCGAGTTCCCGGGAAATGTCTGAACCACGTGTGCGCGTGTTTTCCGAAACAGACAAATCCCACGTTAAATGTAACTAGTTTGTTTAAAGAAAGTATCTTAGAGTATACTTGTAGCTCGTGGAGACGTACAGAACGGTGAGAATATTCTAAAAATATCCGAGAAAGGAATTTCAAATTTTGGGACTGGAAACCGTGCTTAAAGGTGCTTAAAGGTGCTTAAAGGTGCTTAAAGGAGCGAGTTCTTAAAGCTTAATAAGATAACATATGTACGAATGTAAGAGGTTTCGAGGAGCTAAGCGATCCAAGAATCCGAAGATCACGGAATCAGAGGGCTGTGGGACTCCAAGGACCATTAGACCTTTTAAAGAGAAATCGTAAGTCTTTCGAGAGAGATTCTATGAATTAGGAGACTGAATCAAAATCTCTGACAAGGTAAAGCTCGTCAAAAAGATCTTCTGGAAACGCGCGCGCACACTTGAGAGCGTAGATCACTATAGTGGCGGAGTTTCCAGGCACTTAGAAGAGATATCAAGTTACACGTAGAAGAAAGTGAAGTGGAGTGCATGGATTGTAGCGTTCACAACAGGCTGCACGGTTTGCGGAAAGTCATCGCGGAACAATTTATCCCAGATCCCTCGTTTGCCTATCTTGCTTAAAAGAGCCAACTGATAGAAATACATGAGAATTTCGCGGAAATACCATATGATTATCTAAACTTATCATTTCTATCAAAAATTTCAATATCTCATATTTCAAATCATATAAAAAGAAATTGTCAATATTTTTTCTTTTATATATCGTGATTTACTTTTGACGATTAAACGTTTATCTAAATACACATCGTTTTATATAATTTTATCATTTCTTGCCAAAAACACAATTCAATTACGTAAAATTTTTCTTACGTAATTCTATCAAGTCTTTTAAGCACGGTAATAAATAAAGATTCATCCGAGATCATCGTATGAGAACAGTTTTTCGCGGGTAAACTTCTTAGTAGCGATATAAAACGTATATTTCTATGACGTTGACTCGCGCGCAATGATTAACCGTAATTTCAGTCGAGCGAATTTCAAACAGAGTTTCGTCGCTCGACTTTCGTATAACCGTGCAGCAACACTTTGCATGTCACTGCATGACTCTGTCGTTATTATTCTTTCGTGTAAACGAGTATCCCAATTACACGGAGTCACTGGTTGAAAGCGAACAGCGGTCTGTTCTCGATTTTACTTATTAAACGTACGATAACGCCATCCAAACTCGGCGAGAAACTCCAAAAACCCGCAAAGTTCATAACTGTGTGTGTTTATCCTAACAATCTGGATCCAACACAATCTGGACCTAACAATCTCGACCCGTTGTTCCTTTCCATCGGTGGCTTCGCCTACCACAACAACAACAATAACACTAACAAAAATAACAGTTATTACAACTATAACAATTACAAAAACCACCCACGATACCTTCCACCCCGACGAATGCAACGCAAAACAAACGAAAAGCAAAGCACAACGTGGGCCTTCAGCTTCGATCGTGCCGCGACTAACGAGCCTGTCCCGCCTCTCGCAAAAATTGTGCTCGACTAACCGCTAATCTTGTATTCATCTGTTTTATCGTCGTAGAGATCAAACGGGCGGAACAGATCTCGACTATTTAGCAGGGAAAGTCGCCGAGCCACCGACTCGTGGAGCTCGAATTCGAGGTGATGCCAATGATTCCAAATAATTGTGCAAAATCTTTGAACTTAAATTTAAATCTGAATCTATCTACTCAACTGAAATCGCGCTCTTTAAATCAGCACAGGGTGCAAAATGAGCAAAACGAGGAACACAAAGACTAGTAGCGCGTTGAAAGGTGACAACATATGACAGTCGGATTCGATTGCAATTCACGAGTGACGGTGGTGACGCACAATGCGTTGTCTCTGCGGAATGACGCCGCGTCGTTCGCGGTTGGCACGAACCAAGCTGAACGCTCATGTCCTCACAGAGAGGCTTTCGAAGCGGAGCCTCTTGCCAAACAAACTTCGGTGCTTGCTTAACCGACGGCGAGCAGACCGGCGTTTCTCTGGCAAGCCATGCGGCTCGTGTCGCGTCATTTGTTCATTGTCGCACGCGCGGCTGCGAGGCTACCTGTACACGTTCGTTTCCTTCACTATTCCTGCTGCTGCTGCTGTTTCGTCCGGCATTCTTCGTGATCTGGCAGATCTGGCGCGCATTGCTCTCACGTCGGACGTGAGCGCTCGTCGTGTGATCGAGGAAACTGCTCTCCTGTGATATTGCACCGAGCGATTTGCGGTAATGACTCCTACTGTGATATCTCCGTGAAACCATCTGACCTTCTTTCGCTCCGCGCAAGTATGGGTTTCTCGAGTAAAACAGGAAGAAAAGTACTTTAAGATTTAGACAATTTGGGATTTTTATTTAGAAAGATATATCTCTTGGACAAAGTTTATTTCGTTTTCATAAATATATTTGTGCAAAGATAAAAATTATATGTTGTAAAGGAAGAGAAAGAAAACGTTCTATTGTAGCTAATATCCATAAGATTATAATTTTCCAAAAGAACGGGGCCAAACTGGATTCTAATTATGTTAACTTTAGTGCAACTAACTTACTGGCTCCTTAATTTTGTTCGACTCATAGTTCTAACTAAAATAGCGGGAATGTTATCTAAAACACGTGCATTACAAACCTCAGAATGTTTAGAAATTTCATTGTCTGCAGTTTACCTTTCCTTTTTCTCGTGACTTCTTTATTAGAAGTCTGACAAATAGAAAAAACAATACAATCAATGAATGTCAGAGAATACGAAACGAATAGAGCAAGTTCCTCGCTCCACGCCTGAGTCACATCGGAGACACCGGCAATGTCGATACCGAATCCACGCTTACTAATAATAATCAATACTAAGCCTGGCCTCGCAGCCGAGAAGTATCCACGTGTAGTTATTAAAACAGCCTATCTGCGATATGGATTACTTTAGCGTAGTCAAGACATCGACGCAAGGACGAGTATAGAAATAAGAAACAATATCAAGATCCTTTAACCGGTGAACCAATTTCTAATTCGCCTCGTCGAAAAACAATACGATCAGTTTTGCGACGAAGCTACTAGGAAAAAAATACTGTCTCTCAAATGTGTATATATATATATATATATATATATATATATATATATATATATATATATATATATATATATACATATATA